CCGGAATTACAGGCATGCACTACCATGCCCGGCTGATTTTGTGATTTTACTGTAGAGATGAGGTCTCGCTGCCCAGGCGGGTCTCGAACCCGCAGGCTCAGGCAATCCACTCACCTCAGCCTCCCAAAGGCGCGGGATTACAGGCTGAGCCACCAAGCCCGGCTTTTTTTTTTTTTTTTTTTTTTTTTTTTATGGAGCGAGGTCTCATGAGTTGCCCAGTCTGGTCTTGCACCCCTGGGCTCAGGCAGTCCTCTTGCCTCCACCTTCCAAAGTGCTGAGATTACAGGCACAAGCCACCATGGCTTGGCTGATTGAGACTTTTTGAGTGATTTTTTTTTTTTATGAGAAGTTCTTTTGGATTTAATAAATTGGGAAAATACTAAAAGAAATACACATTTTTGTTTTCCTTGGCAATATATGCATTTGCTTTTAGTCTTAAAAAGAAAATTTAAAATTTTTAGAGGAAAAAAAGTGATATGTTGGCCGGGCTCGGTGGCTCAGCTGTAATCCCAGCACTTTGGGAGGCCGAGGCGAGTGGATTGCCTGAGCCCACGGGTTCAAGACCCACCTGGGCAACTTGGTGAGACCTCATCTCTACAATAAATCAAAAACTAGCCAGGGGTGGTAGCGCACGCCTGTAGTTCCAGCTACTTGGAAGGCTGAGGCGGAAGGATCACAGAGCCCAGCAGGTTGAGGCTGCAGTGGCCGGGAGCGTGCCACTGCACTCCAGTCTGGGTGACAGAGTGAGACTCTGACTCCAAAAAAAAAAAAAAAAAAGTAATATGTAATCTATAACTTGTTAGTCTGTGTTAACTTTCCTGGAAGGGTTGAAAAACTACTAGAAGCTGGACTTGGTGGCTCAGCCTGTAGTCCCAGCACTTTGGGAGGCCGAGGCGGTGGATTGCCTGAGCCCGTGGGTTTGAGACCAGCCCAGGCAACTTGGCGAGCTCTCGTCTTTACAATAAATAAAAAAATTAGCCAGGCATTGTAGCACATGCCTGTAGTTCTGGCTACCTGGAAGGCTGAGTGGAAGGATCGCTGAGCCCAGCAGGTCAACAATAGGGTGGCCATGAGTATGCCACTGCACTCCAGCCTTGGCAATGGAGTGAGACTCCAACTCAAAAAAAAAAAAAATATATATATATATATATATATGTATGTATGTGTATATATATATGTATGTGTGTGTATATATATATATGTATAAAGAAAAACTACTAGAAACTTGTCTCTCTATATACAGTAAGTCCCTTACATACAACTTCAAGTTGAGAACTTTCAAAGATGCAAATATGCATTTGCATTATTTGAGGAGGCACTGTTAGTTTTGAGGCACAGGACCCGAACATAGAATGGTACATGAAGATTGCAGTAACTGTTCAGAATGCAATCCAGTGTCATCTATGATGAGAAAAAAAGAGCTACAACTCAGACATCATCACTGAATCATTTGTTCAAGATGGTAGATAGCGTTGAATCCAGCAAGGAACCAGAACCTGTGCCATCAGGCATGAGTGAAATTGCAACTTGCCCTCCATCTCCTATTGCTGATGATCTTTTAGCTCTATCATCTCCTACCTCCTCTCCCTCCTTCAGTCAGTAACTCTTCTTGCCTGTTCACTTGATGCCTGCTGTTAACTGTACTGTACAACTGTACTTTTCAAGGTATTGTACTCAAAGAGTAAAAATGTTTTGCTTGTTTTTTTTGTGTTTTTTATGTATTGTTTGTGTAAAAAGTATTATAACCTAGTACAGTGCAGTACTATGGCCAATTGTGTTAGTTGGGTACCTAGGCTAACTTTGTTGGACTTATGAACAGATTGGATTTATGAACATGCTCTTTGAATAGAACTTGTTTCATATGTAGGGGACTTTCTATACACTGGTTACATATATCTTCTATAATTTTGAGATTTTTTTGTTTTTTTTTGAGTTGGAGTTCCACTCTGTCGCCCAGACTGGAGTGCAGTCGCCGCTCTCGGCCACCGCAGCCTCGACCTGCTGGGCTCCGGCAATCCTTCTGCCTCAGCCTTCCAAGTAGCTGGAACTACAGGTACATGCTACCACGCCTGGCTGATTTTGATTTATTGTAGAGATGAGGTCTTGCCAAGTTGCCCAGGTGGGTCTCGAACCCGCAGGCTCAGGCAATCCACTCATCTCAGCCTCCCAAAGGTGGGGAATTCCAGGCTGAGCCACCGAGCCCGGCTAATTTTGAGATTTTTATATTTTACTTTTTATTTATTCTAGTGTTTGCAAAATTAATACAGAGGATCAGAGGATTCTGTCTTAAGTGTTCCTCAGTGTAGTGAGTATGTGGTTGGATAACTTATGATCAGCCCTATTCTAGAGGCTCATTACATGTGCTGTGGCAGCACTGATAATTATTCCTCCTATTACAGGGATATTCATATTTATGATGCAAGACGCCTGAATTCCAGAGGAAACCAGCCTTTGGTCTCTTTGACTGAACATACAAAGAGCATTGCTTCTGCCTATTTTTCACCTCTTACTGGTAACAGAGTGGTGACCACATGTGCTGACTGTAAACTGAGGTAAATTGGAAAGGAGGAATATGTTTTTAAGGAATCTAAATAGTCTCTAGCTACTGTGTTAGTAAACTAAAAGCTTTGTTTACTCCTATTCCCTAATTTATCGTTAGTACTGTACTTAATGACTCTTCAGTAGCTTTTGGGTCCTGAAAATTTCCTTGAGACTGGCAAACATCTGTAGGTACCCTGGGGCATTGATGGTCAGGCTTCCCTTTCAGCACTAAAGAATCCCACAGCCAGGTGGTATGGCATTTTGGAAAGGAGATAAATTTTAGCATACTCTGGGGACAGCAGGGTCTACTCTACAAGAGAAGTGCTGAAGGGAAGTTACAGAGCCCCAGACCATGGGCAGGCAGAAAAGAGCAAAAACTGGGCCTCTGTACAAACTACTGGATATGGTTTTGTATTTCTAGGTTTTGAGTTTTGGTACCTTTCTACAGCTACTTTCTAAAGATGAATTTTAATATAAACCAGCTGAACAAAGCCCAGAAAATAATGTCAGTAAAGAAAAGATGTGGGGAATGTTAATGTAATCGCAGAGGAAAATAATTTTGTTCTCTTTTAGAATCCCTGATTTGGCTGGGCGCAGTGGCTCATGCCTATAATCCCAGAACTTTGGGAGGCAGAGGCTAGAGGATGGCCTGAGTCTAGGGGTTCAAGACTAGCCTGCACAACTTGACAAGACCTCATTTCTACAAAAAATTAAAAAAAATTAGCCAGGCATGGTGCTGCATGCCTGGGGTTTCAGCTACTTGGAAGACTGAGGCAGAAAGTTGAAGCCACTGTGACTGTGATCGTGCCATTGCACTCCAGCCTGGGTGACAGAGTGAGAATCCAACTCAAAAAAAAAAAGAATCCCTAATTTTGCTTAAAATTGCAATCACTTCTCAGTTTATGAGAGTTGTTCTTTAAATGGTTTTGGAATTCATTCATTATTTATTCAACAAATATCTGTTGAATATATATTATGGACCAGGCTCCAGAATGGCACCCAGTTCCTGCTTGGACCCACCTTTGGGAAGAGCATAGTTTAGAGTGTATCAAGTGCCCAGTTATTTTCTAGCAAAGTTTGCAAGCATTACCAGGAGGTAGAGAGTGAATCACCAGGAAAGGTAGCCCAGTGTTCTCTTTCCACCCATGTAGTTTCCTTTGTCCCAAGAGCTACCTGTTTGTCCCATTCCTGTTCATTTACACTGTAGAGTTTACTTTTATTACATTAACTGTTAGTGATTTGGCTTTCCAGTAACCTAATTAGGCAGTAAGCTCTAGTGTAAGAAACCATACTGGACAGCTGCACACAAGGAGAAGGGGAGGTGGTGGTGATGTGGTTAGTTTCCTCCTGGGTTGCTCACTGGAGACTTCTGGACTCCTCTCTAGGTTCCCCATAAGAACTCCTCTCCTTGGTTGCTGGCTGCTTGGTCCTGGTCTGGTCAACACCTGGAAATGACAATATCAGGCCCTCAACTGATGAGTCTTATAGGGAAATTGCCCTTGATACATGTGTGCATTTTTAGGTTATTTGTGCATTTTAAGACCACATCCTTTATGTCCCATATTATTGAGAATCTGAATATAGTTTTTTTTTTGTTTTTGTTTTTGTTTTTTGGAGTTAGAGCCTCACTCTGTCATCCAGGCTGGAGTGCAGGGACATGATCATGGCCATTGCAGCCTCGACCTGCTGGGCTCAGTGAGCCTTCCGCCTCAGCCTTCCAAGTAGCTGAACTACAGACATGCATTTCCTTACCCAGCTACTTTTTTGGTTTATTGTATAAATGAGGTCTTCCTACGTTGTGCAGACTGGTCTTGAATCCCTGGCTTCAGGCAATACTTTTACCTCTGTCTCCCAAAGTCCTGGGATTACAGGTGGGAGCCATTGTGCCTGGCCTTGAATATAGTATTAGAATGCAGATTATCACTTTAGTATATACAATTTAAGCTTGGAGTAATAGTGTTTAAATACATTATTTCTATATTAATCTATAAGTACTGAATTTTATAATATTCCTTGTAACTTTTGTTCAGTATATTGGCTGAGGTTTGTTAGAGCCTGATCCTACTTTTTTTTTTTCCTGAGTTGGAGTCTCACTCAGTCGCCCAGACTGGAGTGCAGTGGCCGCTTCCGGCCACCGTGGCCTCGCCTGCCGGGCTCCAGCGATCCTTCCGCCTCAGCCTTCCGAGTAGCCAGAATTACAGGCATGCGCTACCACGCCCGGCTGATTTTTTGATTTATTGTAGAGATGAGGTCTCACTGCCCAGGCGGGTCTCGAACCCGCGGGCTCAGGCAATCCACTCACCTCAGCCTCCCAAAGGCACGGGATTACAGGCTGAGCCACCGAGCCCGGCTTTTTTTCCTTTTTTTAAGAGAAAATGTCTCACTCTGTTGCCCAGGCTAGAGTGCAGTGGTGCTATCATAGTTCACTGTAACCTTGAACTCCTAGGCTCAGGGGATTCTCCTACCTCAGCCTCTCTCCAGTAGCTAAGACTACAGGTGTGTACCACCCTACCTGGCTAATTTTTATTTATGTATTTATTTATTTATTCATTCATTCATTCATTTATTTTGAGTTGGAGTCTCACTCTGTTGCTCAGGTTGGAGTGTGGTGGCATGTTTACAGCCACAGCAGCTCGACCTGCTGGGCTCAGGTGAATCTTCCACCTCAGCCTTTCAAGTATCTGGAACTACAGGCATGTGCAACCATGGCTGGCAAATTTTGGGGATTTATTGTTGAGATGAGGTCTCGACAAGCTGCCCAGGTTGGTCTCGAACCTGTGGACTCAGGCAGTCCTCTCACCTTGGTGTCCCAAAGTGTTGGAATTATAGGTGTGAGCCACCATGCCTGGCCTTGGCTAAGTTTTAAATTTTTTATAGAGACGGGGTCTTGCTATGTTTATGATGCTTAGGCTGATCTCAAACTCCTGACCTCAAGTGATCCAATACCCTTGGCCTAGAGTGCTTGGGTTACAGGAGTGAGCCACCACCCAGCCTGGTCCAACATATTTTAAAAAACAATTATATTTCATACCATGAATCAATAGAAGCTTGTTAAATATACTGATGTTGTTTCAGAAATATTTTAAGAAACAAAAGAGCGTGTTACTCTATTCTTGATCTTTATTTTGCAGAATTTTTGACAGCAGCTGTATAGCCTCTCAGATTCCTCTCCTTACCACCATCAGGTAAGCTTCCATATGCCAAATAATGTAGACCCTGGATGACTATGAGTTATTTGTTGGAGTGCATACATAGACATCTGATTTTCAAAGAAATATACTAGGGCTGATTTTTGTATTACTTTGTAAAAGTGTCCTAAATTTGTGTTTTCCTACTCAGAAGGGTCTTACTTCTAGGTTCCCTGTGTCTATAGAGGTTCATTCTCTTTTAGTCAGTAGCTGTTCTCTGCAGGTGGGAGGTTATTTTTGGTTAAGGTTAATGACTTTGTTCTGACCTGAATTACTCATGTTATCTTATTACAGAAGACTGTAACTACTCACTTGCTGATGAGGCTGTGTGAAGCGCTGTTTATTGTGCCTGTTTATTCTGGTGTAGAGAGGGTTTCCCTTACTTCCCACTTCATTTCTTTGATTACCCTCTTGCACTGACTGCTTTCAATGTGCATGTATATTTCACATCAAACTTTACTCAATGCCTTCTTCCTAGATATCCCTCTTTATCAGTAGTTATGAAGTTGAGGATAGGGTATGTGATATATAGATTGCTTCGTGAGTTTTATAGTCTGTACAGGCTATATTTAAGTATGTTCAATTCCTTTTTAAGATATTTTTCCTTGTTCATTTCGTTTTTCAAGCTTTATTCATTTTATCAGTTTCTTTTTTTTAGGTCTTTGATTTTATTTAGTTTTAGACTAATCAAGTACAGTAGTGAGAAGAGGGGAAAGAGTAGAACAAGGAGTTCAATCTGTAACTGACGGCACAATCAATTGAAATAACTCACTACCTTGGGACCAGCTGATTTTATTTCTTTGTAATTGGAAAAATTGTATATATTTATCATGTACAATGTGTTGTTTTGGAATATGTATACATTGTGGAATGGCTAAATCAAGCTAATTACTTCACATACCTTTTTTTGTGGTGAGAATACTTAAAATCTATCCTCTTAGCAATCTTCAAGAATAGAATACATAGTTATTAACTGTAGTCACCATGATGTACGATAGATCTCTTAAACTTATTCCTCCTATCTAACTAAAATTTTGTATTTTTTGACTAATATTTCCCCAGCCCTTCCTCTCCTCCCAGCCCCTGTTAACTACCCTTCTGTTCTCTTGAATTCCTGGCCTCAGGCGATCCTCCTGCCTTGGCCTTCCCAAGCCCTGGAATTATAGACGTGAGCCCACCCTTCTACTCTCTGAGTTCAACTTTTTTGATTCCACATATAAGTGAGATTATGTGGTATTTGTCTTTCTGTGCCTGGCTTATTTTACTTAATTAACATAATGTTCTCCAGGTTCATCTATGTTATCTCACATGACAGAATTTTCTTATTTTTAAAAGTTGAATAGTATTTCGTTGTATATATATTTTCTTTAACCATTTAGCTGTTGATAGGCAGATAGGTTAATTCCGTATCTTGGCTATTGTGAATAATGCTGCAATGAACATGGGAGTGCAGATATTTCATCGACATACTGATTTTGTTTCCTTTGGATATATACCCAGTGATGGATTGCTGGAGCATATGATTAGTTCTATTTTTAATGTTTTGAGGAATTTCCATATGGTTTTCCATTATGGCCATACCAATTTACATTCCCACCACCAGTATACAAAGGCTCCATTTCTGCATATCCTCACCAACACGTGCTGTCTTTTGCCTTTTTGATAATAGCCATTCAACAGGTGTGAGGTGATATATCACTGTATTTTACTTTGCATTTCTCTGATGATTAGTGATGTTGAACATATTTTCATATATCTGTTGGCCATTTGTATGGTTTTTTTTTTTGAGAGGTGTCTATTCATATCCTTTTCCTATTTTTATATTAGGTTGTTTTCTTACTATTGAGTTGACTTCCAACTGCTCACAGCCACTGTAGCCTTAACCTGCTGGGCTCAGGTGATCCTTCCGTCTCAGCCTTCCAAGTAGCTTGGGACCATAGGCGTGCATCACCACACCCAGCTAATTTATTTTTTATTTTATTTATTTATTTTTTAGCTGGAGTCTCACTCTGTCATCCAGGTTGGGATGCAACGGCATGCTCATGGTGACTACAGCTTCAACCTGCTGGGCCTCTGCCTGAGTCTTCCAAGTAGCTGGAACCACTGGTGCATGCCATCAAACCTGACTAATTTTTTGATTTATTGGAGAGATGAGGTCTTACCATGTTGTACAGGCTAGTCTCAACTCCCTGAGCTCAGGCAATCTTCTTGCCTCTACCTCCTAGAGTGCTGGGATTACAGGCATAAGCCACCCTGCCTGGCTAATTTTTTTTGCTTATTGTAGAGACGAGGTCTTGCCGAGTTGCCCAGGCTAGTCTCGAACCCGTGTTTCAGGCAGTCCTCTCACTTGTGCCTCCCAAAGTGCTGGGATTACAGGCATGAGCCACCCTGCCTGGCCCCTTATATTTTTTGGATGCTGACCTCTTATCAGATGTGTGGCTTGCAAATATTTTCTTCCATTTCACAGATGACTCTACTCTGTTGACTGTGCCCTTTGCAGAAGCTTTTTAGTTTCATATAATCCCATTTGTCTATTTTTGCTTTTGTTGACTGTCCTTTTGGGTTCATATACCAAAAAATCATTGCCCCAACCAATGTTATGGAGCTTTTCTCTGTGTTTTCTTTTCTTTTTTTTTTTTTTGTTGGAGTCTCACTCTGTCACCCAGACTGGAGTGCAGTGGCCGTGCCTGGCCACTGCAGCCTTGACATGTTGGGCTCCAGCGATCTTTCCACCTCAGCCTTCCAAGTCGCCGGAACTACAGGTGTGTGCTACCATGCTCGGCTAATTTTTGACTTATTGTAGAGATGAGGTCTTGCCAAGTTGCCCAGGCGGGTCTTGAACCCGTGGGTTCAGGCAATCCACTCACCTCAGCCTCCCAAAGCGCTGGGATTACAGGCTGAGCCACCGAGCCCAGCTTTTCTCTGTGTTTTCTTCTAGTGCTTTTACAGTTTCAGATTTTACATTTAAGTCTTTAATCCATTTTTAAAAAATCTTTTAGTTTTTGTAGAGATAAGGTCTTGTTATGTTGCCAGAATGGTCTTGAACTCCTGACCTCATGTGATCCTCCTGCCTCAGCCTCCCTAAGTGCTGGAATTACAGACATGAGCCACTGAGCTTGGCCTAAGTCTTTAATCCATTTTGAATTTGTTTTTTTATATGATATGAGAAAGGGTCTAATTTTATTCTTCTGCATGTGGATATTGTTTTCCCAACATCATTTATTGGGAACTGTCCTTTCCCCATTGTGGGTTCTTGGCACCTTTGTTGAAAACCAGTGGACCCTAAATGTGTGGATTTATCTCTGAACTGTATTCTATTTGTCTGTGCATCTGGTTTTATGCCAGTACCATGCTGTTTGGGTTATGATAGCTTTGAAGTTAGGCGGTATGATGCCTTCAGCTTTGATCTTTTGCTCAAGATTGCTTTGGCTATTTAGGGTCTTTTGTGGTTAGGTACAAATTTTAGCATTGTTTTTTCTATTTCTGTGAAAAATGTCATTAGAATTTTGATTCATTGCATTTAATCTGTAGATCACTTTGAGTAGTATGGCGATTTTAACAATATTAATTCTTCCTATCCATAAACACAGGATATCTTTGCATGTATTTAAATAAAGATTTTTAAAATTTTAGTTTTTTAATCAGTATTTTATAGTTCTCTTTCACCTCCTTGACTAAGTTTATGTCTAAATGTTTTATTTTTTTTTTTGGTAGCTGTTGTAAATTAGATTTATTTTATTTTACTTTATTTTTGTTTTTTGGAGATAGGGTCTTGCTTTGCCACTCAAGTTGGAGTGCAGTGGTATGATCATAGCTTACTGTAGCCTCGAATTGCTTGACTCAAGCAATCTTTTCATCTCAGCCTCCTGGTAGCTGGGATTACGGGTGTGTGCTGCCACACTTGACTACTTTTTAAAAATTGCTTGTTTTTTTAGAGATGGGGGTCTCACTGTGTTGCCTAGTCTGATCTTGAATTCCAGGCCTCAAGTGATCCTCCTGCCTCAGCCTCCTGAGTCACTGAATTACAGGCGTGAGCCACCATGCCTAGCTATTTCTTGATTTCTTTTTTGGATAGTTCATTGTTACTGTATAGAAACACTACTGAATTTTGTATATTGATTTTTTTTATACTTCAAGTTTACCGAATTTATCAGTTCTAACAGATTTTTGGTGGAATCTTTAAGGTTTTTTGTTTTGTTTTTTAAAATAAGATCATGTCATCTGCAAACGGACTTTTTCCTTTCCAGTATGGTTATCTTTTATTTCTTTCTTTTGTCTAATTGCTCTCTGGTTAGGATTTCTAATACTATGCTGAATAGAAATGGCAAGAATAGACATGCTTGTCCTATTGCTGATTTTTTTTTTTTTTTTTTTTTTTTGGAGTCAGAGTCTCACTCTGTTGCCCAGATTGGAGTGCAGTGGCATGATCTTGGCTCTCTACAGCCTTGACCTCCTGGGCTCAGGTAATCCTTCTGCCTCAGCCTTTCGAGTAGCTGAGACTACCGGTGTGTGCCACCACAACCAGCTAATTTTTTGCTTTTTGGTAGAGATGAGGTTTTGCTATGTTGCCTGGGCTCAAGCAATCCTCCTGTCTTGGCCTCCCAAAGTGCTGGGATTACAGTGTGAGTGTGAGCCATTGTGCCCAGCCTTGTTCTTGATCTTTGTGGAAAAGCTTTCAACTTTTCTGTTGAGTATGATATTAGCTGTGGGCTTTTCATATATAGCCATTATTATGTTTAGGTAGTTTCCTTCTATTCCTTTTTTTTTTTTTTTTTTTTGAATTGGAGTCTCACTCTGTCGCCCAGGCTAGAGTGCAGTGGCATGCTTGTGGCCCCTGCAGCCTCAACCTGCTAGGCTCAGGCAAACCTTCTGTCTCAGCCTTCCAAGTAGCTGGAACCACAGGTACGCACCACCACGCCTAGCCAATTTTTTTATTTATTTAAGAGACGGGATCTTGCTAAGTTGCCCAGGCTGATCTCGAACTCCTGGAGTCAGACAGTCCTCTCGCCTCAGCCTCCCAAAGTGCTGGGATTATAGGGCGTGAGTCACTGCACTTAGCCTTTTTCTTTCTTCTTTTTTTTTAAGTCAGTCTCGCACAGCCTGGAGTGCAGTGGCATGGTCATGGCTCACTGCAGCCTTAACCTCCTGAGTTCTGGCAATCTTTCCTCCACAGCTTCCTGAGTAACTGGGACTACAGGGTGTACTGCAATGCCCAGCTAATTTTTTGCCTTTTTTTAAGAGATGAGGTCTATGTTCCCCAGGCTGGATGAGAGCCTCTGGGCTCAGGCAGTCCTCTCTCTGCCTCCCAAAGTGCTGGGATTACAGGTGTGAGCCACTGTGCCTGGCTGGTTTCCTTCTATTCTTAATTTGAGAGTTTTTATTATGATGCTGAAAGATGTTGGATTTTTAAAATCATGATAGATATCGAAAGATGTTGAATTTTGTCAAGTGCTTTTTCTGCTTCTATTGAGATGAAGGATTTTTGCCCTTTATTTGGTTAATATCGTGTATCTTACTTGATCATAGTGGATGATCATTTTAATGTGCTGTTGAATTTGATTTGCTAGATTTTGTTGAGAATTTTTACATTTATGTGCATCAGATATATTGGCCTGTAATTTTTTTTTCTTGTAGTGTCTTTGGCTTAGGGATGAGGGTAATGCTACTTAGTTTATCAGTTTCTAATGTGTATTTTTTTAAAAACTATCAAAAGTTTTAATAAAGCACATTGTAAACAACAAAAAGAATTATCTAGGTGATTATTCTGGGCACAGTGAGCATTTTCATTAAAAATGGAGTCATGAGTGGCAGTGGAAAATGTGGTTCTCTATAGTCTATACTTTATTTATTTATTTATTTTATTTTTTAATTTTTCAGATTTAATCAATATTTTTTATTATGGTTTTGTGGGGTACAGTTAAAGGTTAGGTGTACAATTACATTTCATTCAGGCACCCTGTTGATAAGAGGTGTTTCCCCATCCCCAGACAGATATTTGCTACTGTAATCCCATCCCCCCCCCCGTAGTTTCCCAGTACCATCAGTCATTTTTCTTA